GTATTAATACTTCCATATCTATCTAGGGGAAGATATTAACAGGTTCCCAAACAGGTTTCCCTTCCCCCACTATCCCATCCAGCAACAGGATATAAAGCCCTTGCTAGTTTCTTTTGGGAGGTGTGGAGGGGGATAAGGAAGAGAGAAGTCAAGAAGAACTATTAAAGATTTCAGCAAACTCATCTGAGGATGCAAGTGTATAAAGACAGCTTGTTTTTTGTTTTGCCTTATTTAGCCTTTGAGAAGACATCAGATCACCATACCATGGCAAGCCATTTGCATTAGGAAATCAGTTCTGACTTGTTTTATGAGTACTTCACAGCATTCACAACATCATTCATTTTGTTAAGGGCTTTTAGCCAGAGAATCTATAGCTTTGAATATTCCCTGTGGATAAACATAGGATATTAAATATTCAGGGAATAAAGTGGCAGATGTTGAAAAATGTTCTGGGGCCAGACTCTCAGATGGCATAAGTCAGCATAGCACCACTGAAGTCAAAGGAGCTAAAATGAGTTACACCAGCTGAAAATCTGACCTTCTAGATTTCCCATAAAGCTTAGAGGTTGCCAACACTGGGGAGACGCATGGGTCTATTTTTTATATCAATATTACAAATGAGTGATAAGGCAGGAATAGTGTCTGAGAATCAGATCACTTGCTCTCAGGGGATATTAAGAATGTGAAGTGGGGCTCAAGAGTGTTTGTTTCCTTTGAGGGCAACCATAGAAATAAGCAACTTTCTCCAGGGTTCAAGACTCTTTCTTTAGCGGTAACCTGAATCTGGAGTTAAACTTTAGATTAGTCTTAGTCTGGAGCAATTCTGCCCTTAGTTTCAATCAGGACTAAATCTGAATCAAAGGTTGCAATATACTACATTGCTGGGTGTTTATATAAACAGATATCTGCTTCAGGATAGGAGGGGATGGGTCCAGAGGAAGCATAATTAAAGTTGTCATGTGTCCCATGGCAATCTTTTTGGAGCTCCTACACATCTTGGTCAGTAAAAGCCAAAGAAAATGGTTTCAGGAACTTGCACAAAGGCACCTCCCTTCTGCATACCTTCTCCATTAACAGATTCCACCCATACAAGGTCTGCCACCAGGGAACTCCTGGATCCCAAACCAATTACACATTCTAGTGAAAGATACTGTACTGTACCCACCTGACTCTCTCTCTCTCTCTCTCTTTGACAGGCCATAGCATTAGAAGATAGCTAAGAAAACAGGAGTTCTCATACTCAACTTTCTAGTTCTCAGACAGGTTTTTGACAAGCTTCATGCTTACAAAATAAAGGTGACTAGATTCTAAGTATTTAGAAGGCTGTCTCCACAGCGCTACCAGGAACAGTTGCATTGACTAGATGGCATTTAACTCGTCTTTTTTAACCATAAGAGTCCAGCCAAACCAAACCGGAGAGTAGCTGGTATTTCCAGGCAGGTCAGAGGAACTGTCATACCAGGACAAACCAACCTAGCCTGGTATCCCACCTCCAACAACTGTGAATCATAGATGATTCACTGAAAGGTAGAAAAGTCTGCATAAATGTAAAGTACCTTGCCTGGTGTGTAATATTATATGTTGGGAAACAGTTTCTTCTTGACCCTGGCTCATCAACTTACCCCTGAAGTATCAGAATTAGCTACTTCATTCCTAAGAGCTCTGTAAAAAATATAAGAGGAACTTATTTCAACAGTGACCTTGCTACAAAAACTAATCACAAGAACTTACTACATAATTAACAGTGTTACTACAAACAATGGATAACAGTTGGACTAATGCATCATTAAGGCTGACAATTTAAACACACAAAAGTTAGGAAATTCAAGAGTTAAGGTTTCCATCATAACATTAACCCGGATGCATTGCATGTGTAGTATTTTGGATCACTTATGGATGTATATATCTCAGGGTTTTTTTCTGTTTGTTTTGGGAGGGAGCGGGGTTTGTCTGACATTTAAAGATTCTACCTTAAGAATGAAGTAATATAGTTTTCTGCATTTCATTTCCTTGGCTTAAAAATAACCTCTTGACATCAGCAGTGAGACCCCTCCCCTCCACCTCACCCCCAACCTTTAAAGCCCTCCTCCCACACAAATATTATTCTCACTATATCTACCCCCCTCTCCAGAAATCTACAATAATTAAAGCACACATGCAAGTATTAGATGGACTGGTGGGATAAATCTGGAGGGTTTCTGTAGGTGAGAAAGAGGCTGTCAGGTGCTTACTAGTAGTGAGATTTAAAAAAAAAAACAACAACAAAAAACAAAAAAATCCACAGAAAATAAACATGGAAGACTAGGTTACTGCATATTACAATGGAGAGAATTGGAGTATTAGCTTGGCCAATCTGCAGATGTTAGACATGTGTTTAACAGTAGAAGGCTTGGTTTGAAAATATGGGTCAAGTGCACTGCTTAATTACCAAGTCATACATACATTCATCTCACTGGGTCTGGAGGGTTTCTTGGGGTGGGCAGAGCACTTCTGAATACATTATGCTTTCCCAGCAAGCACACCTGGAAATAGACTGCCAGGATAAGGAGATAAACACAAAAAGTTTTCCAAGCCTGCTGACACCCTTCCAATGCTACCATACTGGTTGGAGGGTAGAAAATAAAGTGTTCTAAACCTTCATTTGAGATGCCACCTCCAAAATCATAAATACCCCAGAAATTAAGGCAGCATCTCAAGACGCTCAACCCAACCCCACAGGCAACCATTACACATTTTGTACTTTCTCAAAGGCAGAGGTACGTGCTGTCTGAATTGAATCAAACTGTCCCATTAACACCAACTGTGGTAGATGAAGAGACCAGGACACATAACCAGGTTTACCACCATCTTAACCTTAGTGGTTTTTCAGTGAATCTAGAATGCTGCATGAAGTTTTACAAGACACTAATTTTATTCCTTGTATTTTTTTTCCAGACTTGCATTGTGACTAGTCACTGAGGATGAGTCACATGATATGAACTTTTAAAATCAGATTGCTAGAGTTTTAAATATATATTTATATTTATTTATTTCAATATTTAAGTACTAAACATTTTTTCCACTCAAAAGTGCCTGGCAGGATTTTGATCAAGTTTTGAACAGAAACAAACTCACCTCTTCTTGCCGAGACTAAATGGTAGGCATTTCAACCCCAAAGGATTGTTTGAGAAAGTTACAGACACTTGGAAACAGGATTTTAAAAGCTGGATAGCCAACTCAAGCTTCGACATAGCTGCTTTGTAACATTCTAATTTTGTGTGCTATGGTCTTCTAATTTACAATTCATTCTCTAACAATAATATTTAGCATTTATATAGAACCCATAGATATTGAAGTGGTTTATAATGGTGTGTACGTATTATCCCCATTTTACAGATGGGGAAATTGAGGCACCAGCATTGAGACTTATCCAAAGTCACATAGCATGTCAATGGGAGAATTGGGAATAGAAGCCAGTTTTCTTAGTCCCAGTACTGTGGCCCTGTTTGCTAGTCTAAAGGGTCTGAGCTACCACTAGGTGTTCAATGGAAGTGTATTTGGCATCATGCACAAGACAAGAACTTAAAAAGATCCCACTGAAATCATGTTGTTTGTTTTTTGGGGGGGCTCTGTTAATTTACTACTATTATTTGGGAACCGGAAGCATTTGGAATTCTGCCTCACTTCTCTCAGCATATATTTAAGATGTTTGTAATTTATGTCTCATTACCAACACACGCCCTGTCTTTGGTCAGGCTTGGTCCTAAAGCAAGACAGGCAGGCTCACTCAAGTTCAATATTCCATAGGGGACTCTTCAGAAAGCCATCAAGCTAACACACACACACACACACACACACACACACACACACACACACACACACACACACACTCTAGTAATAGATACAAGATTGCACTTAGCCAGGGTCTCATCTTTGTGAAAGAAGGATCACCAGACAAAGTACTTTTAGCAGGATCCTTAGGAACTGAGCCTTCCTCCCAACAAAGAGAAGAAATTCACTAGATAATCAGATGATTACAAAAACCCAAACAAGTTTAAACAGGATGACAGAGTTGAAGCCGTGCAACAAACATTACAGCACTGACTCAGGCTGAGATCTGTACGTGAGCCTGAAAACTTGAGACCAGAAGTTGATTAGCCGTTCCGAAGGTAAAGGGGGAGGTGGGACTGAATTCAGATTTAATTCATCGGGGGGAGGGAGGGGGGGGGAGAGAAGAGAAAGACAGGCTGAGGTTTTCCTCTTTTCACAGCTACGTTTACCAAATTCCACAACTTCCGAACAGGTCTATAAAGCGAGACAATGGGTCGTTTTTCCTTTTAAATAAATAAATAAATAAATAAAACCATCTTCCAAACGTTGTGCTCTTTCTTGATTCAGACTGAAGCAACGAAAGATCAAGTTTAAACCGAGTGGGTTCTAAAGCTGCAGCATCACCCCCACCCCCCCTTCGGGATTAAGACGAGACTGATTGAACTAACGGGCTTCCACCCCGTTAAAAACCTCGGCTTTTGTGTAAACAGCCCATCGCAGATGGGGGGCAAGGGGGGGGGGGTGTAGTTACGGACTCACAGCGAGCCAGAAACGTGCAACCCAAAATAAAGAGTTTACACTGGCCACAAAACTTGCCCGGCGAAGTCCTCCTCATGGCAAGTGCCCTAGATCTCCAGACAAGCTGCTGTGTGAGTCCTTGCTCATTGGGGATATAGGGATGAACGTCCCTACATTTCCAGCTCAATCCAGGCGAAAAAAAAAATATGAGCGCTAGAGAGTTTGAGCCATGTGATCGCAGCTACATACCGAACGCAGCTCAGCCTTTTCAAAAGTTGCCACCAGGAACAACCTCTATCCTTTGCTGCAACTTAGAAAATATTTTCAATCGCAAAGAGGGGGAAGGGAGATAAGTGGGGGGGGGGGGCTTCAGTCATTTGCAAAAGAATCCGGGGGAGAGGGGGGGAAGCACCGGGCTGCTTCTAGATTGTGTCCAGCCGCAGTCTCCTTACCTTACTCTTCACTTCCACCGCGCTGCAATCGAAAAACCGCAGAGTCTGAGATTTATTAAAACTCCGATTCATCTTCTCGGTCCCCAGTTTATCCCCCCTTCCTCCTCCTCTTCGCCCTCGCTCAACAAGGGCTGCAGGATCCGCTGCCTCCGACTGTGGGAAAGTTTCCCCGGGCTGCGTGTTGTTGCCGCTGCTCCGACCCTGGAATGTATCTTTCTTTGGAACGTTCAGCCGCCGGAGGTTCTTTTACTTTGTCCCAACGCTCGAATCAGAGCGCCCGCCCAGCTCGCTCTCCGGGCTTCTGTTTGTAACAATCACTCCTCCAACAGAGCTCGCAACGCGCCTGTGACTCAATGAGAGGAGGTGGCACGTACTAGACCCCGCCTCTGGCCAACCTCCCCCTGCCATCCTCGCCTCTTTCAGTTCCCGGAGAGAAAAGCTCCTCCCGCTCCAGAGAGTGTGCTTTCTGGGCTGTGATTGGCTACTGAAATCCCTAGTTAGTTAGGGGAAGTCGCACAAAAGAGTGGGAGCTGTGGACAGAAGTAACTACAGAGTCCGCATATTAGAGAAGGATGCAAACCAAAACGCGGGTGGCCCGATATTCCCCCCTCTCCTCCCCTCTCCCGCAAATTTGGAGAAGTTTGCCTACAAATCTGATCGTTGTGGTGCAAACCCATCTCTGTGTAATGTATTTACAAATGATAGTAGTTTCCCTTAACAGGCACAATTGCCATGAAAAGTTAGCAACCCCTCCCCCCCCATACAATATCTAGTTACCAGCCCCAGACCATAATAACCGTCAATAATATTGCCAGTTCTAAGGATTTGATCCTGCAAACATTTCTGCCTGGGCTTAATACTACCATAAATATTTCAACTTATTCCAATTGAAATTCAATATAATTACTCACAATAAAATTAAGCACGAGTAAAGTGTTTGCAGGGTTGGGGCACAAGTGTTCAAAAATCATGATTGGGATTTTTTTTTAAATGATCGTTTGGGTTTGGAGCCTGTAGGGTTCATGTTTTTAAGCTTTTCTTTGCAACCATGAGGGTTAAAATGTACTTGATTTTAAAATGAAAGTTGATAGTCTCATCACATAACTCAAGGAATATAACTTTAAAGAAAACACCAAATATGAAACCTGTGATAAAAATCACAAGATTTGGCAACACTGTAAAAATAAAAGGAAAATCATGATAATTTTCCTTAATATTAAAAATCACTCCAGGCAGTAGAATCAGTAGAATTTTCTTAGTTTAAATATTTTTCTATCCCATTGCATGAAAAACCAACAGAAACAAGAGAAACAGACTGATTTTACAGGGGAAATCATTAAAAAGACCATACACAAAGTGCTGGCAACTCTGTAAAGTGAACAAATTGAAAATAAAGATATTTCTTTATTCTCTCATAGTATTTTATGGCCGGGTCCTGTAAAGATTTGTGCACGTTTAACTTTACACACTGTGAGCATTCCTAATGTCGTCAATTGAAGTACTCACACTGCATAAAGTTAAGCACACTTCTACATCTTTACAGGACTTTTGTACCCTTGTAGAGTCATGGGATATGTCTACACAGCAAGTAGCAGCCCATGGTAGTGTAAGTCGCAGAGCCCAGGTCGACAGACTTGGTCTCGTAGGGCTCATGCACCTCCACCCTAGGCTTCAGAGTCAGAGCTCCAGCCCAAGCATGAATGCTGTTGCAGGCTGTGTGAACATATCCATTGAAATATAAGGCCCTGATCCTGTAAGGTGTTCTGTGGGTCTGTAGGGGTGGACCACAAAGAACTCTTTGCAGGTTCAGGGCTAGTGTTTGCAAAGTGCTTTGGGATCTTTTGAGGGGAAAATTTTCTATATAAATTCATAAATTCATAGATCTAGGACTGGAAGGGACCTCGAGAGGTCATCGAGTCCAGTCCCCTGCCCGCATGGCAGAACCAAATACTATATAGACCATCCCTGATAGACATTTATCTAACCTACTCTTAAATATCTCCAGTGATGGAGATTCCACAACCTCCCTAGGCAATTTATTCCAGTGTTTAACCAATCTGATAGTTAGGAACTTTTTCCTAATGTCCAACCTAAACCTTCCTTGCTGCAGTTTAAGCCCATTGCTTCTTGTTCTATCCTTAGAGGCTAAGGTGAACAAGTTTTCTCCTCCTATAACACCCTTTTAGATACCTGAAAACTGCTATCATGTCCCCTCTCAGTCTTCTCTTTTCCAAACTAAACAAACCCAATTCTTTCAGCCTTCCTTCATAGGTCATGTTCTCAAGACCTTTAATCATTTTTGTTGCTCTTCTCTGGACCCTCTCCAATTTCTCCACATCTTTCTTGAAATGC